TGGAAAGTCTACATGATTTTATGAGAAGGAAAGTTTTCTTTACTAATCTTTTGGCATTCTTTGAAGGGGTTACTGCTTATGCAGATGAGGGTAATTTTGTGTGTTTAGATTTTCAGAAAGCATTTAACAAGGTGCACCATTAAAGGCTTGTTTAAACAAAAAACTGGCTAGATGGAAGAAAGCAGAGGTTGTTGTAAATGAAGTTCTGTTAAACTGGATTAATGTCATGAGAGTGTTACCTCAAAGCACGGTGTTAGGACATTTGCTCATTTTAATTTACATCAATGATATAGATAATGAAGTGGTTGATAAATTATGTATATATTGATGATATTAAGGTTTTGGACTTTGCTGGTTGCTAAGGGTGCTGCTGATACATTGCAAAAGGTTCTGGATTACTTGGAGAGTTTGGCAAGTAGGTGGCTGGTAATAGATGAAGGTGAAACATGTGAGACGTTTTAATTTGAATTATAAGTATAATCTTGATGGGATAGCCTTAATAATGTCATGGAAGAAAATGATTTTTGGTGTTCTGGTTGATCAGTCTCTTCAGCCATTCAAGCAATGCGATGTTGCTAATGCGAGTACCAATAGGGTTGTAGACAAGTCTAAAGAGGTTATAATTTCATAGTATAGGTCACTGGTTGGGTAATATTTGGAGTATTGTGTTCATTCCTGGGTTCCTGACTTTAGAAAAGAAATTAAATTATTGGAAATATTTCAGAGATGGGCTACTGTGATGATACCTGGAATGGAAAAGTTTCATAAAAGTGCAGATTAAGATCTTTGAAATTATAAGTGTCATAGAGGATCTGTTTGTGATTATTGAGGTTGTTAATGTAATTGATAGTGTTCAGGCATCAACATTTTTTGTACTTAATGGTGAGAACTGTATGACTAGGGGACACAAGTATAAATTTTGGAAGGGTAAGAGTCATCTTTAGCCAAGATAGTTATATTTTTAACAGGGTGGCTGACCTTTGGAATAGTTGCCTTCAGATGTGGTGGATACAGTTAATTTAATGGGCCTTAAAGGAAGGCCTGATGAATATTTGACTAATAAGGACTGCTTTGAGTATTATAATTTTATTTTAAAGTTTAGTTTAGGGGATGTGACTACCAAGATAAATCAACATGTATATTGATGTCCTTAAAATTTATGTTTATGTTTTAAACATTATTGAAGAAATAAATTAATTTGTTATCATTACACAGACTGTATTTGTCATTAATTTCACTAAATAATTCAAAATAACCCATATCATATAGTTTCTACCCTCTATAGTAATACAGGTATTTAAATTATTTTTCGATTATTAGGTTTGCATACTGTTATTGCAGCAACACAGGTCCAGGAAAAGTTGAGTTTACAGTATTCCGCTCACTCTTCTTTTTTATGCTTTAATAGCTGACATATTGCCTTTATAGGATAGCAGAATCCAGTTTTAAGGATTAACCTTGTAATATCTGTTTGCTGGTTAATGATGGCGTTACTGAAAGCCATAGTTGACCATTTTTGTGGAAAAATAAAACCACAAAGTGATGTTGTAAAAGAAACAAAGAGAATTAGCTTATCTGGAAGTTTGAGTGTGTTTTCTTTAATCACTTGAAGTTGGTTCTACTAGGTGATCTGAAGAAAAATACTTGTGCTCTGGAAGACAATGGTTTTCGTTTCTTTAGTAGTCAGTCTTGTGAGAGATGTAACTAAGAAGTTGTCTTGTTATCTACATGGGTATATTTGTTATTTTCTTTTATTTGTCATTAATAAAGGTTGTGTTTTATTTTCGTGAATTATGTGCAGTTTTTTATTACTCACACACAAAGAAACTCAGTTTAAGTTGTCAACTATAGATCACACTCCTCATTTCGTGTATAAATCTGCTGTTCTTGTAGAGCACAACTTCTCTTATACTTCTAGGGAACTGGTTTAACCCAAAGTACCACAAATAGAACTATAAGGGAAATTTTGGTTCCATGCCAAACAGGATTTATTGAAAACATTTTTGATTGATAATGAGCATACTAGTTTTTACTTAACCTCTCAAGTTTTAAAGAGTTTTAAGAAATGCTTCTATTAAGAAATAAATTGACTTTTCTGAACATAAAAAGTACACAGGAACCGAGAGAAAAAATTCTTGAGTAGAGAGAAGTGGTCACACAGGAGAGGAATTGTGTCTAGGAAAAGTTCTCTCCTGGCTATAGTACATTTGCCAATGCTGCAAAGGTCCCTAATGTTGGTTAACCTTCAGCTACTGAGTCTGGGAGGTATGCTGTGTCTAGAGTACCCAGTGCTTCTGAGGATCAACCTCAGTGAGAGGGAAACTCAAACAACTGAGGTCTTTTAGAATGTTTGGCACCCAAAGAGTTCAAGACCACTTGGGGAGATCTCTATCAAACTCCCAGGCCATTACCAGCCAGAGCACTGCAGCCTCAACTCTGGTCAAAACTGTTGGTCAGTGGTGGACAGATGTTAGATGTGCCATTGTTGAACAATGTCTGCCAGCCAGACTTGTCACCCATGCAGGTGGGGCAATTAGTACCCATTATGTAAACTTATGACCCATAGGGTGAGGAAACCCATAATCTCGACGACAGCTCCAGACACTTGGGGTCATACAGGATTGTATGATGAGCTGCCAAGAATGGCACATTGCCCTGTAGCACTAGGCCAGGGACTGACAAACTCTTGGGGTGTTGTTGTCTGTGTGAGTGGTTTCTATCCAGAACTAAGGACATTGGTGGCAACTACTCCCAGCCCTATTCAGGAGTATAAAAGGTTTGGACCTGGAATACAGAGCACTGTGAGCGAAGGCAGACAGATCATGCCCTTCTTGTTCAAGGAAATGGCACAAGAGGACCTAGACTGGTTTCTAAATTATTTCAAGCAGGTAGCTGTTTGGAATGGATGGACTGAGGAGCTGGTTGGGAAATGTCTGATTCTAAGTTTAAACAGTTCAGCCCTTAATGCAATCGACTACTTAGATGAGTAAGAACAAGGTTACTGGACAACTATCATCTACAAGCTATGCTGCCATTTTGACCATGTGGGAAATTGTATGATCTGTCAAGCCGAGTTAAAAGCTAGCAAGGAAGATAGGTGCTGATAGACTAGCCACCCATGCAGAAGATCTGCGCCGTTTGCATGGGAAGGACTACCTAGCAATGGCTTCAGCAGATCAAAAGAACATACTTGTTGGCAAATATGCCCAATGAACTCATGAGACAATATCTGGAGTTGAGAGACATAGTGATCCTCTTGGAAGCTGTATAGATAGCCATGTAGTATGAAGTGACCACTCTGAGCCAGACACCAAGGAAACTTTCAGGGACTGTTGTATTGGCAACTCCCCTGATTGATGGCCCACTCAGTGCTTCGACTGTGGTGGACAAGGCCAGTGAGAAAGGCTGTTTCCCAACCTTCTTAATGGGCCTTAGCCGTTACATTGAATTCCAGTGAGATGGCCAGACTATTCAGTTCCTCCTATGGTGTACCTGCCACAGCATGCCAGGGTACATGCAAACACAATAATGTACACCCATGAATTACCAACTGCCACCAAAATCTATGTTTCTACTCGTCTATCCAACAAGATGGGAAGAATGAAGCATTTGCTTCACATATGAACAGATGAGTCAGTGGCATTGATATTATCCATGCTTTACAGATCAGCAAAGATGGGTGGGCTGTTGACTTCAACCAATAGTTCAGCAGACGCCTGATGATCCTCGATGTCAGTACTTTGCTGAGATGCTGAACTAGTGACGATGAAAACCAAGTATAACTAAACTAAGAAAGAGCGCTTGAATTCAACAGCTAAATTAAACTCAGTTACTTTTTGTAGTCGACAGCGTCACCTCATTCGTCGGTAGTATTTTTCAGACAAAGTCAATCTCTGTCAGGAAAGGATAGTATATACATACTAATATTTTCAACCCAGATACTATATGTTACTACAATATCTTCTCCAGTAGTATAGATATTAGTTATCACAGAAAACAATGCAACTAGAACGAGGTAATTAAAACACTTAAATGATCAACGTCTTAAGAACAAAGTTTAAAAATTTAATTATAAAACCGTTTATTTACACAAGTACCTTGAATTTTTAGCCTTATAATAGAACAAGGTAATCTCAAGTTTCTGGATCACGTGTTTATATCAAAACTGTATAGAAACTAACTAAACTAAAACTGAAACATTTATATTTCTTTAAAGTAGTTATAAAACGTACGATATGTCTGTATATCACAGACGAGCACTTTGCATATGGTATTATTTTATCTGTAGATAATAAGCACTACATGAAAACAAAGTTCTAATGTTATTATTTATGCTAGAAACTTAAGTAATATTGACGGGTTTTTGATGGGATTATTATAAATCTCAACGATAAATTATACACGACTCAAAATTGCAGACTGACAAAATATAAATAGTTACGACAGTATATTTTAATTTTTAGTACCAATGAAACTTCATTTAAATTCAACCATAATCAATACATACACTAGTCGAACTCGAAGTTAGGGATAGCTTCTTGATACTGGAAAACAAAATCAAGAATACTTGTAAGCAATTAGTAAATATTTAAATGTACACATCAAATTCATTGTTTGACTGAAACTTCACTGTGCAGCATAATATTTATCTTAATTTCTAAACTTAATATTACATCTAATATTTTATACATAGATTATTCTTTACTTAATCCATGCACAATTTATGTTATTGGATTTCTCCAAAATTTATTTTGGATAAGTAATTTACAAAAATTTAGTTCTAATAATTTTATAATTTTTGTATAGTTTTCGATTTTCTAAATATATTATTTTTCATACTTTTTACGTCGGAGGGCTAAATGCAAGCTATTCAGTCATTAAACTTAATTTAAAGTAGTTCCTAATGTGAATTATGATTGATATATTATAAATACATTTGTGCTGAAGTAAGTGTGGTATCGGGAATGGTATTGTAATATAATGTTACTTGGTATTCTTGGCGTCAAATGATGGATTTTCAATGTGCAATGGAAACAGTTGCAGAAGCTTGGGTTGCAGCTAATGCTCAAACTACTTTAAGTGTTACAGGAGCAAAGGAAGGTCAGGTGAGAACACAAGTCGAAGCTAAAAAATAGTCGAAACCGTGTGAACCATGGCATTTACAATGTGCATAGTAACTTAGTAAGGCAGCGTGTATGTATTGACTAAATTGAGTGTGACTTCGATAATCAGGATAGGCGAATCTTTGTTCATGTCCATCATTTCAATAGACTAGGCAGTCACTGAGTCAGTAGACTAGCGCTGTTTTCTGCAGCGTTTTCGGTAAGCTTAGACCTTAATTTGAAGTTTACTTATTATTATTACATTTCTACATATATTTTTCTTGGTTTTTGTGACAATTTGAAATTTTCATAAGAAAAACCTGCCTAAAATTTTTAAATTGAATCTAAACATTACTGTCATTACAATTTACAAATGTTAATACTTTAAAGTTTACATTACTACTTATAGAGTTAGAAGTTAGACTGCATATCTTCATGACATGAAGCATAGTTAATATGTTAAAATAAAAACAATTTGCCTTTATTATGACATTTATGTGTAATTCTGACATTGATGATCATGGATCTATAACTTATAAGTATAAATTGTATAATTTATTTAGCCATAATTACATTGTTTTTAGCCTAACAGCAACATAATAGTCATTTACTCTTTGTAAATTAATGATATATTGGTAGTTTGTCAGTCCAGTCATCTTTTTGACTGAAACATGTAACTTGACACTGTAACTGTAAGCTTAAGTGTAAATTGTAAGGGTTTTTAGTTTTGCTTTTTATACCCTGACACACTGCAAGTTATTAGTGTCCACTCTCTGACACTACAGACAGTACAGTGACTGGCCGAAAGCTGTCCTTGTCAGAAACTTGAGAGTGGAAACTGCTACTGTGCACAGTGTTGGGACTTACGAAAACAATGACAAGTTACAACTTGAAGCTAGAAAGAAGGTGAATGTATTAATACTTTATTTACATGTTAGAGGAGTTTAGGAAAGTCAGCACTTTCATTGATGTTAAACTTCCCTAGTGTGTAAAAAAAATAAAGTATCAACCCAATCACCTTCTTTCTCACTGTAACTTGTCACTGTCAGAGGGAAAACTGCTGATTTGCACAGTGCTATAGTCAAAGTGTCAAGGTTGAAAGAAATTAGAATGACACATACCTTGCTAGATCCATCCAATACCATTGATGTTTTTCTTGCTTTTAGTTCCAAGTAATATATATATATTAGAACTTTCACAAGTTAAGCAGAATATACTTATAATTCCAAATTACTTGGCTAGTTAAGCAGAATATACTTATAATTCCAAATTACTTGGCTAGGACTTTCACAAGTGACACAATTTCAGACTTTTAACTCAATATTATAACCTTGAAAAAATATTTCTAGGAAGAAAAGGCATAATTCATAAGTTATCACAAAATTTACTTAATAGTGCAATACCTTTATATTTAACCAACTCGTAAGCAATATTCAATATACAGTTCCTTATTTTTGAGCATTTGCTTATCAGTCTTTTGTTCTACTTCTATTTTCTACCATAAGATGACATTAAAATTAAGGGTGGGCTATTATTGGCTGTCGATAAAGCATACAATAAACTTATATTTATAGAGCAACAGGCTGATTTACATCCAACCATAGTTACCATGACAAAGACCTCATTACCACCCAATGTCAATCACTTTGTCTCTGTAAGAATAATATTACAATTAATTCTAATAATAATTTATGAAAAATGAAGTAATACCACCTCACAAGTTATACTTAAGGCCTTACCTTTAACATTTGGACATGTAGGCCCACCTGCCTCAGGATTTTAGAAATTACTTAAATTCAGGTAGCGAGAATACATTAACTTGTATTTTATTTCCAAGCTCTTCACTTTTTTATGAGGAATGAAATGTAAAAACCAGCATTTTAGTAGAAACAAGTTAATGTCAAAATTTTGATAGCTGTTTTTCACTGATTCTGTAACAGGTCATAATTTTCTTAAAACTAAAGAAGGACCAAGGAGTTAGTACAGAGATGCATGTTAAAGTAAAATGTGCATAGTGTGGCCAGTAAAGAACTGGAATCTTGTTTGGCATGAAGTTATTGGAAAATTCTATATACCTTGCATTATTTGATGTACACATCAACATAATATTTTCAGTGTAATTAGCACATTTAAGGAGTTTTTTTTTCACTGACTTAATTTTTTTTTGCATCAAGGATGTGTCCTTTTTGCAGTGATTCTATGATAAATGACATAGTGTACTGGAATGTAAAGAAGTGTGAAACTTAAAATTGTACTAGAGGAAATAATACCATTTTATATGATAGAATGTGATACCATAATGCAGTAACCAATTGTTAAATCAACATTATCTACTTCCAAAACATACTTACCCCTTATCACACTACAGCTATTACTTGACTGCCAGGGTTTTCTTCCTTTGCCCATCTAAGCATTGGTCTGAATTTTTCTTGTTTGATCCAGTCTTTTATTCCCCACTTAATTGTCCTTGGTGATATCTATCATGTGGCACTCTCCACTTATGTCAATGTGCCCTCTATCCTGGTACTGTATATAAGCATCTCATTCAAATAATATTATCACTTTTTCTCAACAAAGCATTCACTAACAGGTTTTCCTGTACTACAATCATTGGAGATATTTTTAAGTGTTCTCTGTATTACCAATTCTCATTTGGCGAGCTGATATGTGGCATGAATTTCCGGATTATTTCTGGCATGGAGGCAAATTGGGTCTCAACAATTGGGAGGGGAGTCACTCTTAGTTGAGACTGTCAGATATTTTTCATAGTGAGATGGAGATGTATATTTGGTTTGATGGTGTTTTGGGCCTTTCCCCAGTTGCTTTTGAGCCTGCACCTTCCTTGCTGGCTGAAAGTGCTGGGAGCAAATACTTAATTCTCCCTCCTGATATTGTGGTTCATGCTGGGAGGTTTATTGCTCAGTAACATGAAGGGACAGCAATGCCTTGTCTGCCATGGTTATTAGACTTTAGCTACCACTGCAAGGTAGAAGCATATTCTGACTCTCAAATAATATATCTGCTCCTGGTAATTTGGGGTTCTGGAGCAGAGTTTATAGTTAACCTGAATAGATCACAACTTTCTAGGATTCATCTCACCCTACATACAGTGCTGAATTATTTATTATCCCTCTAAACTTCGTTGGAAGACTCAGAATTATCACATCCATTGATGACGAGTTGGGACCATTGTTAGCATGCACATAGCTTACACATTCATTCCTGTTGTTTTTGGAGTCTCAACTATCCTCAGGACCTTGAGTCAGGATTAATCATTCAGTTCACATCTTCACCACCATTATCCACCCAACCCGTAGTGTTTCTGCCTCCCGCAAGTACTTGGATTTCTGAACTGCGTTATAGGGCTATCAGAGTTATGTTGGTTTAGGGGCAGTGGAGAGAGTTGTGGCAGTTCTTCTGGAGTTTTCTTCCCATCTGTTTGTTGGGCCCAAGAAGACAGGAGATTGGCATCCAGTCATTGATCTTTCTCATTTATATCAATTCCTAGATCCTCCAAAGTTAACAAGCGAGTCATTCCTCACTCTCAGTTGCCATTTTTTACTTAGATTGTGGATGGCATTGTTCAGTGTCGTCGACTCCTATCTGCACATTTCCATAGTGGTGGTGTCCTGTCACATTTTGTGCACAAGGGTCAGGTACTGCATTTCACGGCTTTTACCTTTGGACTAGCATTGGCACCATGTATTCAGCTGAATCGTATGAATTTTTTATTGTCACCTCCTTTACTTAGGCCTGTGCATACACCATTCCATGGACAACTAGTTACTGCTGGCACCATCTTGTCAATTAACAGAACGTTGCAACCAGATTCTACTTTCAGAAACAACCAAGGCAGGCTTCATTATCAAAGCTGAGACATCTATTCTTGCTCCAACACCATATATCATCAGTATGGTGTCTTTTTCATCATGTATCTCAGTAGGGTTCAGCTGACTCCCATCCAGCTCTAATCTATAGAATAGGAAGTTTGACTGTTATTCACCTCTCCTTCTGCCACTGCGTTGATGGTTATTCTCTTTTGGGAATGTGGGTATCACTGAAATCCCTCATTCTTTAGGGAAGAGTGCATAAAAGATACCTTCAATGGTCTTTATATGACCAATGGATCATTAACAGTGATTTACTGGATTCCCAAGTTTCTTTATTTAGAATCATTCTCTTTGATCTCAAGGGGTGGTTAGATCAGAACAGTCGGAAATTCCAGGGTCTATGCTTGGACAACAAGGCTTCCCCTACACAATGTTTTATACCTTCTTCCTGTTAAAAGGGCGATTTCTCGTAGTCTGGGCTTATTAAGGGGACAGTCGCCAAGCCCCCACTTTGACAATTCCACGGTAGGGTCTTGCATTTCCCGTCAAGAGACACTTGGTCCAGGGCTCTTTGTTTCTGAATCTTGGATCTTATTTCTTGGGACCGCTCCTATCATATCACTCTACTATCTTGCCATGTTCCATGGATGATGATTACAGTGGCAGATCAATTCTTTGGCCCAAACAGATTTTCCCAACAGAATGGATACTACATCACGAGGTTTTTCTGTTGGATTAGCTTTCATTTCAAAGTGTTGATGATTGGTGTGTTGGCCACTCATTGGAACACCCAACTACTGGCAGTTTGTTCTCTAGGACCTCACCCTTGGGCTTTGCTAATAGATGCATTCTGTCAGGATGGGATGGGATTACACATCTAGGTCTTCTCACCTATTCATGTGTTATCCAAGGTCCTAGCTATGACTTGTTACAATCCATTATTGGGTCCTGATGATAGTACCAGGTTGGCAGCTAAACTGTAGTTTTGGCTTTTGCGATATCTTCAGGAGAGCCCACCTCCTCCACTTCCACTTTGACCATCTCTGTTGAGGTAGCCATGATCTGATATTGTACACCAAGCTATCCAGAAGCTCAGGCTTCAAGCATGAAGGTTATGCAGTTCTTCACATGATGTTGGGGTTTAATTGCTAAGGTTGCCATGTATCTGTCTCAATCTTTGCTTAGTCCCACAATGAACATTTATCAATAGAAATGGCACACAGGTAGGCTATGGTGTAGAGAGATAAGATTGAACCCACTTCGATTAGAAGTGCCAGCTATAACTCTATTTTTGACCTGGCTCTTTGACTAGGGTTTTGCATCTTTCACAATCATCCTGTATTAGGCAGCCTTATCGACTACCTATCAATACTCGAGACAGATTTTTTGA